GCCAGTTTAATACGACTGGAACCTTTATAAAGGGTTGTGTTACGCGACCGATAAATAATAGAACATCGAATGAAACGAATGTAAATACTTACATAATAACAGTATCAATACAACAAATATTGGATAATCACAATATTAGTCCGCACGGTGTAGTGAAAAACGGGACGCAAGAGTTTCCCGGTTGGACCTCTACAACCGACCACAGTAAGGAATTTTAAATTTATTTTGGCATTGCAAACCTTCCGCGCAGAAATACAACGGTCTGTGTGCCGTGACTTGTGCACCGTTCTTGTGCTGTTTTACGTCTCGCACTTGTGTTCCTGTTGTCATCCTGCCTGCGATTAGGATGTTCGACAGTAGTTGATGGGAGGACCTGACAAGAAGAGTGACAGAAGAGAGACAGTCTGTACCATGACTAACAACGGATGATGAAAGAGAGACGGAACCAGACGCACGGAACGAACCGGTGGTGTTAGTTCGGCAAAAGCTTTCAGAGACGACAGTAGCAATCTGTTCCCTACATTAAGTTATTACATACACTTGTATTGGTATATTGATGGTATCGGTTATTGTTTACTACAGTGAAAAAAAAACGAACAAGTTAAGAAGAATAAAATGGATTGTTAATAAATAGTAGAGTCAAAATTTCCCTATAAAAACCGGCGTACGCGAAGGTAACACACTGGGACCTCACATATACATTAACGAATAACCAAATACGATACAAAATTTATGACGCGTTAAACATAAACTAGGTTTGTAGGTTTTTCTCCTAGCAATTGGGGTCAATTGTAAAAATATCCCTAGGCGGAACATTAGTCAATCCGAATTATGTTGGATTGAATATAATAAAGACCAAAATAACAAATATAAATTACTATAACATCTTGAGCAATTATCATTTTTTTTGTGTACCCTGGTCGTGCCAGAGCGCCGGACCCCGCACCATGAGACCCGTAAAATTAGAAAAACCAAATAAAATCTATTGAAAGACAGCCCCCCACCCAACGGACGGTCCTAAAAGGGGATGTAAGTGACGATGAATAAGAACAGTGAAAGTAAAAGATGACAAATGACCAGTATGAAATCCAACTTAACGAAAAAAAAATTTAACCCCCCGAGAGCTTAGCGAAATAAATAGTCCCCAACCGCCCCCAGAGGGTGAGGGAGGTGCAGGGGAGGGGGAGTGGGCAGGAGAGACCTGCAGAAGAAGGTAAGTAGAGGTTCCCTCGCGTACGGACCACGTCTGCCGAACGACGTCCCGCGCTGCCCGGAGCCCTGCGAGACGAACGGCCCGGGGTGTCTGCCAACCACGCAAGCTGACGTGCGCGACCTCGGCGGGACCCAAGTGTGTACGTATGACTGTTGACGGTAGTGCACCGCATGAAAACCCGGGTCTACATAGATTCTTAGTCTTTGTCCCAAGTTAGTGGTCCCGATCAACTGTGCACTGCTCCTAAAACGTGAACGGTACAAGCGACCACGAGTATGCCATTTTCCTTTTGTGTCTTTCTGCGTGAACTTTTTATAATTTTTATTATTTTTATATCGTCATAAAGTATCTTTACCTTATGTTTAAGCCGTCATTATTATTTTGCTTTTTGTCTATAAGCAACATTAAACCACATAGTTACATTACGTACATTCGATGTCAATTGTTTTTGTGATGAATTCCCGACGAATATTGAATATAATAACTCGGTGACAAAGTGATTTCAACATAATCCGTTTTACGAAAGTGATAACGGGCACTTACGGCTGCATGAAGACTTCGACGATGATAGTCCAGTAGTGCGTCGGTGCTAGATTCATTTCCGAGGTAAGTGGATTATCACTTTTGTTAACGGATTATGTTGAAGAAATCAACTTTGTCGACCGAGTTATTATATTCAATATTCGGGGCGGACAGTGCATAAAACACAACAAAAATCAAATCCACGAGAAGAACGGAACTATGACGGATCGCATATACGGTCAATGTACACTATGTGGTACAGTTGTTATAGACAAAAGCCAAAAAATAATAATGAAGGGCTAACATAAGGTAAAGATTACATGTTTGACGATATAAAAAATAATAAAAATTAATAAAAAGGATCGAAGAGTAAAAGACGACAAAAGAAAAC